CATCACGATATAAGCATTTCACATCCTTTTATATCAATAATTACCGATTAGTTTTTTGTTTTAAATATCTGAAATATTGCCACACCAGTGGCAGGACCCTTCGTGTTTTATCCAGTTTTTTTTTCACATCATTATTTTTCACTTTTAAGCAGTTATGAGGCAAAGTGGGGAGACTTGGAACTGCTGCTGCGCCAGTTCATCACCAGGTTGTTGCTAGGTAACCAAAGAACAAGCGAGTTGCTAGGTAACCAAAGAGTGAGTTAGTCGATTCCACCAACTTTGCTAAGCTAGCTGTGAGAATTCGAGCAGCCAATGTCTTTCCTCTGCCTACGTCTCCCAGAATGCTGTGCGGTTCTGGATCACAGTTCAGTGAATATCCAAAATATTGAATATTCTATCAGATGTATTATTTATTGATATTGATCACGTGTCAATCGCGATATACATTGTTATTGATTTATTGTCCTACCCTGATTATCGATAGCAACTAAAATAAAACTCCTAAATTATTTTTCAGCCACATCATCCAGCCCTAAAAAACTTTTGAAGACTTTTTTTACGTGAATAAATGCAGCGCTAACCTCCAGAGCTGTCACTCAGGCTCTTGTCTTTGACGCCCTCCATTTCTCGCCCGCCCAGGGCGTCCTCCGCTCTCTCTTCCTGGGTCTGCTGCCGGTGGCCGTTAGCCGTGGCGACCCCTTTGGCTCCGTCGCCCTCGGAAACGCTGGACTCCGGCTGCAAGTTTCTGTCTTTCTCTCCGTCGGTTGCCACGACGACGCTGTCCTGGATCTCCTCCTCCATTGGCTCCGGAGACATCAGCTGACTCTCGGAGAGGACCAGCGCCATCGCTGAGGCGCCACCGGTGTTCTCCTCCTTCATGACATCCTCCTCCTCTTCCTCACAGTCGTCCATCTTGTTTTTGTCCGTCGAATGGTTCTGTTCTGCCGTTTCTCCTGAACTGGAGGCGTGTGATGCTGCCGTGGTGCTGCACGGCGTCTCCTGCACGCAGCTGTTCGCCGCCAAGTCAGAGTGGTTAGCGTTGCTGCTTTCGTTCACATTTGTCTCTGCTTCCTGTTGCTGCCTGTCGGACTCATGCGGCAGGTCCGGCTCAGTCCGGTCGGGTTGCTGTGACTCCTCCGGAGCCACGGCGTCGCTGGTATCGACACCTGGCGGCTCTTCCAGCTCGTCTATCTGCGTGTCCTGACTGTCCTGACTGTCCTCCTCCACCGGAACCGGGTCGCCGCTATCCGCGTTCACAGAAAGCTGCAGCGCAGGGGAAAACGGAGCCGACTCCCGGAGCGAAGACTGAGTCTCAGAAGGCAACGGAGGAGACTTCCTGGCTTCTTGGCTCTGTGTGGGAACAAAAACATCCTGAAACAAAGAGAAAGGTCTGGATGGTGAAACCGAGTCATTAAAATGAGCAGTGAGTGTTGCTGCTTTCGTTCTTAACGGGCCAGTATTGAGTTTTTTCCTTTTTATAGCACATTCAAGTAACTATGCTAACTTCAGTTGTTAAAAAATGCTACATATATCAAATATGACTCAGATTAAATCTGACTTCCTAATTCAACGCCTAGAAATTGGGCCTCTGTCTCTTTAAAAACTCCTGCTCTTTCTGGAGCTCCGCCTTCAGAGGTCATCCCAACATGGCTCCTCTATTAATCCTTCAACAACATTTTTACCACTGACAAGCAGCTCAGCAGGTGTTTGCTAACTGCTGTGTGTCTCTGTTCGGTGAGTTTTTGGTTAAAACTTGTTTGTTCTTCATTCAGTGGGTAGAAAATCCAGAAATTTTACTCAAGTAAGAGTAAAAAGTAAAGCGCAGTAAAAATACTTCTAAAAGGACAATTTTTTGAAAAAGTTACTCCAATCAATGTAACTAATTATTGCCCAACTCTGTTAATACGTACATGAGAGAGCCCTGGCTGTGACGGCACAGGCAGCGCTCGCTCTGGACCAGAGGCATTCTGGGAGACCGGAGCAGAGGTAGGTGAGTGTGGCCTCGAGGCGGCGTCCGTTTCCATCGGCTCGTCCTGCGCCGCCGCTCGCTCCTCCGGCGGAAGCGAGGTGTCCATGGGTTCCTCTGCACACATTCAGCTCATTAGAGCCGTTTCTAATTCGCTCACCGGCCGGTTTAAATTCACTCACTCACCGTCGCGTTCGTTTTCCGCTTCGGTCGGCGAGCTTGGAATGATTAAAGGAGTGTGGGGGAAGTTGTCCGGCGTTGGGGCGACGTAGTCAACGGAGCTCCTGGGCAAACAGAACCAAACAACAACAATCAATCAATCAAGTTAATTTGTGTAGCATGTTTCAGCAACAAGGCAGTTCAAAGTGCTTCACATCATAAAAACACAAAAAAAGAGTCATAAAAAGTCTTAAAATCATCATACAGCCACCAATTTGAGAACAAACATGAATAATTTCAGCCCTAATAGAAATATAACAAAGACCCAAACTTTCTCTTTTGATCATTTTTTTTCCATAATCAGATTAATAATTGGAATATTAGGAGATTTTCCAGAATTAGAACCAGGTAAAACTAAAACACTTGAGGAGTTCAACACATTTACAAAAAAAGTTTGTTTTTATGTAAAATGTAACGTATTTATTTTTTACAGAGTTTAGCTTCATTACTGCTCTGGGTGTTTTTGAGTCTGTGTGCTCTGGATAGCAATTAATCGATTACTAAAACTGTTGATGATTATTTTAAAGATTGATTAATTGCGGTTAATTGAATTTATTCCAATTGATTCAATTAATCCCGATTTATTGGATTAATTCCAATTAATTTGATTAATCATGATTGTTACAATTAATTGTGATCGTTTTAAAAAATTGCAACTATTTCAATTAATCACGATTAATTGGATGAATTATTTCAGCCCTGATATAGTAATTTTTTCAGGATTTGTAATCCCTTACTTTGCTCTTTACTTGAAAAAAGTAATCAGATTACTGCTGGTGACTCACTGGGACAGACTCTCCTGGACCAGCGTTCCCTGTCCGGACAGATGCAGCAGCTGCAGGCTGTGGGCCGGCGTGGAGGTGGGCCGAGCCGGCTGCTCCGGTTCCGACACCGTGCTGTCCACAGCGGCGCCTGAGAGGTTTCAACGTGACGCAGTTATTTACCAGTTCTTCTCGCTCCCTGCAGAAAAGCAGCTCGCCAAACGAACATACCCGACTTGTCGGCGTCGAACAGATCTTCCTGTGAGGACAGAACATCGCAGTCCTGCTGGTCCGGCTCCTCGGACTCCTGCAGGTTCTGGGAGTGCAGCAGAACCTGGACGGTCAGCTGGCGACCCGACTGGCCCACGGACTCGGAGGAGCTGCTGGAGCTAACCTCCGACCTGCAGGAGAGCAACGTTTATCAGACAGCACTAAACTTAGATGTGGTGTCCCTCTGGGCTCCGCTTTTAGTTTACGCCTTCTTAAACATTTTATTAATGTAATACAGCTACATTTTGCACCATAATTTGCATAATGCTAACATGTTAAACCAAAACATTAGCTCCACTATTAGTGGATTAGCAGAAGTGCTAACCACCGGTTAGCATTTGAAGAATCTAAAAATAAATGCTAAAATCTTATTATCTCAAAGCTTAACAGCTTTTAATCTGGCTAATTTAAGTTTATTTTTAAAAATTATTTACCTCACTGCTTTGTTATCTTGATGCGCCAAAGTTTTGAGGGCAACACTTTGCTGCTCTGAAATTAAAAAGAACAAAAACACACAGATGTTGGCCTGATGAGTGTCAACACTGTTAGCATGCAATAAAACATTTTCATCTAGCAGCAGAAACAGGAAATACATGTAAATGTGATAATTTCCTGCTTTAAAATAAGAGCTGTTTTGGTTTTTACTTTCAGAGCGATGGCCCGGGTCTCCGCCAGCTTCAAGGTCCTGACTCTGTGAGAGCTCCAGAAACCCAAACTGAGACGATCCACCTGGAAACATACAGAAGGAGCTGATATGACGCAGAAGGACAGAAAATATTTAGTTTAAACTTCAGCGTTTAGCAGGAGGAACACCGACCGTCAGACTGAACACAGTTAGTCGTGGAATCGGCTCCAGGATCCATTTCAGAATCCTCAGGTACAAACCTGGAGAGTTCAATGGAAAAAAACGTTGTTATTTCACTGGATGGGTAGAAGGAAGGAGGGATAAAAGAGAGGAAGAAAAACAGAAAAAAGAAAGAAAAGAGGGAAGGAAGGAAGAGAAGAAACAGAAGAAAGGAATGAAACATTTTAATGAAAATAAAAACTGTAAATATTTCCTCCATTTTCTATCTTTTTCTTTGAAGTTGAATCGTTTCCTCCAGAGAAACTCTGCATGATTTATTGATAATATAAATAAAATCTGTTCTCTTTTTCCCACTCAGGTGAATAAACTTTGCTGTCACCAGCAGGTGGCGCCACTGCAGCGGAAAAAAGTTGACTCTTACAGAGAAAAAAAAAAAAAAACATCCTAACATCTGAACTGGTCCATCATGTAACTGGAAACCAGCAGCACCAGTTCATAAACATTCAGTACTTTCCTCCACCCTTATTTATTTCACTTTTATTAAAGTTCCCATTTAATATTTCACTAAATGTGACCTGAACCAGGACAGGAAGCAGGGTGTACTCACTTTTTCTTGGTGGGATGTGGACAGACGTTGATAACTTGACTCTCCTCCTGCAGTGGCGAGCTGGGGTCGGCTGCAGCTACGACCTCTGAACCAAAAAAACAAAAGATTTTTAAAACTTTACAGGTGAGATTAAAATGCAAACATAGTAAAATATGGATTATTTTACTTACCTGGTTCTGCCTGGTTGTTACTCTCTGATTGGCTGTCGATTTGGGAGCATCTACTTCCTGGTGGTGATGATATTAGTTCCTGGAAAAGGAAAATAACAACTTTAGTAAAAAAAAAAAACAATAAAAAATAAATAAAGCATCAAAATGTCAAAAACTGCTCTAAATAAGCACTTTATTTATTCCTCTAAATTTATGTATTACTACCTTTTAAAGGCAAAAAGTGGGAACAGCTACTTTTTACTTTTACTTGAGTAATTTTACTATAAAGTATTTCTACTCTTACTTGAATAAAATTTCTGGATTTTCTACCCACTGAATGAAAAACAAACATGTTTTAACCAAAATTCACCAGAAACAGAAACACACCTGCAGTTTTTGTTAAAGTTTCATACATTTGTTTTTAATTGATAGAAACTGATTTGGAATTTTTTTCTTTTGCCTGATTTTATTTTTTGTTACTTATATGAATTATTGTATTCTTGGTCCTTTTCCAATTAACTTTATATTTTGGTCCATCTAATAATGATGTAATTTTTAAATATTAAATGATTGATAATTTGATCAGTTACTCAGAACTTGAGAAGACTTTTCACCAAATACTTTTTTGACTCTTGAGTCATTTCTTGGACTGATACTTTTTACTTTTACTTGAGTAAATATATTTTGAAGTAATTTTACTCTTACTCGAGTAAAATATTGGGTTTCTCTGCCTCTGATTAAATATGATGAATATGGAGTAAATGCTTGTAGTTGTTGGGATGCCGCTAGGATACTAACTAGCAAATAAGGATTTGTAACAGGAAATAAACAGAAAATAAAGTAATTACTATTAAAAAGTTGCGGGAAAATACCTAAACATGTTCCATACTGAGATATAGCTATGATACTACTTCTTTTTAAATTGTGTGGTAATATTATTTTTTTTTTATTTATCCTAATGTATTTATTTTTCAATCTGATTGAAATAAACCAGCAGCTTTTAAAGATCCATCTCACCAGAACCGGGCTGCGGGCGGCCGGTTGCAGGCTGGACAGGCGGCGGGCCAGCAGCGCCCGGTAGCTGCTCTCCGGGTCGTCCTCCAGACCGACGCTGTCCGGCTGGGAATCTTCCACTATCAGGCACGGGTTCTCCGGCTGAGGCAGGCTGGAGTCCAGTTCGCTTCCACCGGGATCCATGAGGTCAGGCCGAGGGCAGGAGACGGAGACTGTTGTGAGCTAACCAAGCCAGAAGAGAGACAACAAAGCGAGCGGCATGTGAGACCCCAGCCGACTACTGCTGCCTGAGCCCACCGGTGTTAGCATGTTAGCCTCAGCTACAAGCTAATGGCTAATGCTCCGCCCATCAACATTTCAAGGTTTGTCTGGTTACAATCCCAGTGAAAATCACATTAACAGGGAAGGGAAATCACTGCAAACTGCACCACCTTTATACTTACCTAAAGAGCTCAAAAGTATTAAAATATTGATTCATATATTCCTTTAAAAAATCATTATAGATCTTCTTCCAAAACAGAAACACCCACTTCAGCTCGCTTAGTCGCGGTAAAAATTTAACAAAAGCGATTTCATTGGTTTAACGACACTGACGTCACAAAACGTCGATTAGTTTTATGGTTGCCAGGCGTTTTTAGATTTAAACGCGTTATTGAGGCGTCAGTCTGAGAAAGTATGGGAATGATTGCATTTTTTACAATCGCATTTTACTTTTTGACTTTCCGAGTGATGGCATCCTCAACTCAAATATAAAACAAGCCTTTCTACTGTTTCACTTTTAAAATAATTCATGTTATAAAGTGATTCGTGTTTGCCACTTTGCCTTAGGATCTGCATCCAGCGTTGGACTCCCCAGTTCTTACTTTTCCAAGAAATGAACATTTTTAAATGAAGCAGATGTTTAATATAGATGACAAACAAGCAGTAAAATGTTTCTATACCACTCAGAAAATTTAAACCTGTGTTTTGTTTCATGATTTCTAGGAGCTACAGTTAAGAACAAATTACTATTCAAGCTGTTAAAAGTTAATATTTTGACCTCAAATGTTTCATTTAAAAAAAAAAAAAGATAATATGTAGAAATTTGGGCCTATTTCCACAGTCATGTGAATTTGTACACAGAAATTTTTTGAAAGTTAAAGATTTAAGCATTTTTTTTCTGTTTTTATGCAATTGTTTCCAGACAAATTTCAATAATAATTATCATTATCAATAATTTTTAATGTTGATAATAATAATTATCAACATTAAAAAGCAATTAAAATGTAGAAAAGTAGCATTTACACACTAGCAAAAACCTTTAAGCGTCATCTCTGAAGGGATTTTTTTGTCGTTTTTAATACTTTACTTCTTCCTTTTTACTCCATTTGTGGTTTCAGTCATTTTAATAAAGGTTTTTAACTAATACTTGAGTTTTAATTTAGCAGATATGCAAAGAAAAGTCATAAAATACATCAAAAAGTCTAACAAAGCAATGATAAGGATGCAGCAAAGTATAAAGAATAACTTGGAGGCTCAAAGTGTTTTAAATGAGAGGGTGTTTCAAGGTTTTACATGTTATACTGCAGAGTTCTGCACCTGCTGAGATGAATCATGTAAAGAAAAATAGAAATCTGGGGCGCTCGCTGCACACTGGGATCTCTGAGACCTCCATCGGATCCCTGAGGGGTTTGGAAGGACTCATTTAAAATCAGATATAGGTTAACTTCCTCCCTGAAATCACCCTCAGCATGGAGCTGCAGAGGTTTTTTATTCCTGTTCTCATTATATCCAGCTGTTATTGCCTCCGATCCTCCCCCCTTATCACCATCAGTTATAAATCTTAATGGCGGATTTGTAGAAACGTTTCTTTTCTCCTTATCAAACAAGCTAAATGCTAAAATTGCGCGTTCATGTTTGAGCCTCAGCAGATCCAATCACACTGTTGTGCTGATTTAGATCTTAGATTAGATGCATTTTGTAATTTGCAGGTTTGAGCAGCACTTTGTCATCATCATCATCATCATCATCATGATTTTTTTACAGCCTCTGTTTCCATGGAGACTAAATATTCCTGTAGCACAGCAGCAGAAGCTCATGTAGATCACAGAGGTTTCTGGTGGCGAGACAATAAAAAGTGGTTCTGGTCTGACTGACTGAGGCTGCTGGGAAGGCGTGGTACTCAGATCCAAATGGACCCAACTGTTCTCAGGATCATTTACAGACTCAGACATTAAAGTTCATTTATTAATAACCTGCTTTCATAGAGACCAGTAAGGTTTTCAGAAAAATATGAACGCATCGCTCATGACAGAACGTCGTCAAACTTCCTGAGAAGGTCGAGTCGAGTTGTCACCTCTGTGTTCAAAGACATAATATTATGACAGTACACTGCAAAAACACAATATCTTACCAAATATTTTGGTCTTTGGTCCTACTACAAATATCTCAGCACACTTCAAATAAAGCAAAACTGACTTACATGCAACTTTTCAGCAAGATATAGGAGCTTGCTATTGGTCAATAATTTCTTTATAATGATGAAAAAGTTCCAGTTCTACTTACAGATTATTTTGCTTATTATAAGACATTTTCTCCATGTTATAAGTGAAATAATCTTCTAGTGGAATTAGGTCTTTTCCATCCATGTTAAGAAATTATTGACCAAAAATCAAGCTCCTATATTTTGCTGAAAAGTTATTTGTAAGTTAGCTTTGTTTATTTCAAGTGTACTAAGATATTAGGACTGAAAACTAAACTAAAAATACTTAATATTTTTTTATTTTTGCAGTGTGGAAACTGTCTGTAGTGACTGTCAGACTCTTGTTCCAAATCAAACCCATTACTTTTGTCTGTTTGTTTTTCAGAAATGTTGCCATTTATATGGTATGCTGTGTTGTTCTGCACTTTATAAATATGGAACATGTAATTAAGTCAGTTTTTTTTAAGTAGTTTTGAAGATATTTCCACTAGAAACTACCAAAAACACTTGGTAAGAGTTAATAGATTTTGCATTTTTGGAGTGTGTGGCTTGCAGGTCTGGTCACTGGTTCAAATCCTGTCTGAAGTTTTCATGCATAAAAACATTCATAGTGGTTTAAATTCACATCCTTAGCCACCCTAAGGCATGCAGATTGGTGCTTATCCAGTGTGCAAATGACTAAACAATTTAGATACATCTTACAGTTAAATTAGTTGAAAATGACTCAAATATTACAGAAAAATCTGAAAATTTAAACCATGCAACTCAGTAAAGAAGTGGGATTTTCTCAGTGACCAAACTAAATATTCTGAAAATGAGAAAAAACTGTATTCAAAAACAGTTTGACTCATAAAGTTTGACTTCTCACCAAAATAAACCATAAAATCCAACATGGCTGCCTGTCGGATAGAAAAAGCAGTAATAGCCTGCTGATCAGTAGCTCTGTCAGTTTGTATCTCATTAAATAAATCACACATCTAGTCCTTTACAACCTCTACAACCGAACATGTTGATATTGTGTTTAAATGTCTAAAATGCAGATTAATACTGTATTATCAGCTTTTTGTTGCCAACTGTTTTTTTTTTTGTTCTGTTAGTTTTGATGACTTTGAATTTCAGCTAATAAAATGTTATGATTGTGCTGTAGCCTAAACACTCATGATGAAGTCAGTCCAAGTGCTGCAATATTGTTGGAAAGTTTGGTGGAAGAAAAATGCAAAGCCATAGATTTATGGAGATGCTGATTTCATTTTCAAGCATGATTTAGTATCGACACTCTCACTGGGTTTGACAAAGTTGTTGCAGTAATTAAAGTAAAAGGAGCCTGGACCACATCTTGAGTGTTTATACTGCACAGAGATACTATTAGCTCTGTCAATCACAGTCTCGTGTGGACCTGCTCATCCTCTCTCTCCCTCTTGCTCTCTGCTGCGCTGCAGCTAGCATGGATGCTAAGGCTAGTTAGCATACCCACAAATGATGGCAGATAAACAGCTTTACTGTAGTGAGTTGTTTCTCCACCATTAGCACTTTAAGCAGCATACACAAACATGATTGGGAGCGCTAAGACCCGCCTCCTTGTTCTGATTGGTTGTTTTTGGTACATTTCTTCAGACTGCAATAGTAGCACATGGAAGAGATCAATATTTTCACATATTATCTGTCTCATAAACTGTCACTACATGGTAACAGTTCAAATATTTTTATAAGCAGAATTATTCAAAAATAACAAAAATAAACAGTATGTGTGATAAATTGGCTGTGTATTTTTAGCCATTTCAACCAAATTAGTTAAATAAATGTAAAACTTTTTGATTAAATCTTAACTTACTAAGATATTTAGATATTCTTAGAGTTTTATTTCTGTACTGTTTTGTGGATCCCACCTGAAGCCCACAGTAGTAATCCAATGAACGGCCCTGCTACACGCATCAACTTCATTCATTAGGATTACTGGTCCTGCCTTTCTATCTCTCTCTATCTATCTCTCTCTCTCTCTGTCTCTCTCTCTCTCAGATTGTAATCATGTAATCTTATGTAATCAGTCTTCAGGTGTAAATCCTTTTAAGTTTTCAATGTTTCTTGTCAGACAAAGGGCTTCAGCTCCAGGAAACAGCAGCAGGGATGCTGACCGGCATTTCATTAAGTGGAGACATCCTGGGAGGCAACAATGCACCCGTGAATGCCACATTCAGCCAAATGGCTGGGTCAACACATCCCAGGTGCTTTCGCTTTAAAATGAAAATCAGATGTGATGCAACCTTTAGTTTTATAATAAAGTGACGCGGCTCTCAATGCGCCTCCTGCAGCCTCCCCGAACGGCAGCTGGCGCGGACAACTTCAGCATTACGTCGTTAATTTCTGCAGACATCTACATTAAAGAAATGCGCAGGCACCGCACAAAATGTCAAATCACCTCCGGCTGTGCGGGAGCCGGGCGGAAACGCACATGGATCCTTATCTGCGCCCCTTCAGCGCTGCACAATAGTTCCCGATTTAGCGCAAAAAAAANTGCAACTCAGTAAAGAAGTGGGATTTTCTCAGTGACCAAACTAAATATTCTGAAAATGAGAAAAAACTGTATTCAAAAACAGTTTGACTCATAAAGTTTGACTTCTCACCAAAATAAACCATAAAATCCAACATGGCTGCCTGTCGGATAGAAAAAGCAGTAATAGCCTGCTGATCAGTAGCTCTGTCAGTTTGTATCTCATTAAATAAATCACACATCTAGTCCTTTACAACCTCTACAACCGAACATGTTGATATTGTGTTTAAATGTCTAAAATGCAGATTAATACTGTATTATCAGCTTTTTGTTGCCAACTGTTTTTTTTTTGTTCTGTTAGTTTTGATGACTTTGAATTTCAGCTAATAAAATGTTATGATTGTGCTGTAGCCTAAACACTCATGATGAAGTCAGTCCAAGTGCTGCAATATTGTTGGAAAGTTTGGTGGAAGAAAAATGCAAAGCCATAGATTTATGGAGATGCTGATTTCATTTTCAAGCATGATTTAGTATCGACACTCTCACTGGGTTTGACAAAGTTGTTGCAGTAATTAAAGTAAAAGGAGCCTGGACCACATCTTGAGTGTTTATACTGCACAGAGATACTATTAGCTCTGTCAATCACAGTCTCGTGTGGACCTGCTCATCCTCTCTCTCCCTCTTGCTCTCTGCTGCGCTGCAGCTAGCATGGATGCTAAGGCTAGTTAGCATACCCACAAATGATGGCAGATAAACAGCTTTACTGTAGTGAGTTGTTTCTCCACCATTAGCACTTTAAGCAGCATACACAAACATGATTGGGAGCGCTAAGACCCGCCTCCTTGTTCTGATTGGTTGTTTTTGGTACATTTCTTCAGACTGCAATAGTAGCACATGGAAGAGATCAATATTTTCACATATTATCTGTCTCATAAACTGTCACTACATGGTAACAGTTCAAATATTTTTATAAGCAGAATTATTCAAAAATAACAAAAATAAACAGTATGTGTGATAAATTGGCTGTGTATTTTTAGCCATTTCAACCAAATTAGTTAAATAAATGTAAAACTTTTTGATTAAATCTTAACTTACTAAGATATTTAGATATTCTTAGAGTTTTATTTCTGTACTGTTTTGTGGATCCCACCTGAAGCCCACAGTAGTAATCCAATGAACGGCCCTGCTACACGCATCAACTTCATTCATTAGGATTACTGGTCCTGCCTTTCTATCTCTCTCTATCTATCTCTCTCTCTCTCTGTCTCTCTCTCTCTCAGATTGTAATCATGTAATCTTATGTAATCAGTCTTCAGGTGTAAATCCTTTTAAGTTTTCAATGTTTCTTGTCAGACAAAGGGCTTCAGCTCCAGGAAACAGCAGCAGGGATGCTGACCGGCATTTCATTAAGTGGAGACATCCTGGGAGGCAACAATGCACCCGTGAATGCCACATTCAGCCAAATGGCTGGGTCAACACATCCCAGGTGCTTTCGCTTTAAAATGAAAATCAGATGTGATGCAACCTTTAGTTTTATAATAAAGTGACGCGGCTCTCAATGCGCCTCCTGCAGCCTCCCCGAACGGCAGCTGGCGCGGACAACTTCAGCATTACGTCGTTAATTTCTGCAGACATCTACATTAAAGAAATGCGCAGGCACCGCACAAAATGTCAAATCACCTCCGGCTGTGCGGGAGCCGGGCGGAAACGCACATGGATCCTTATCTGCGCCCCTTCAGCGCTGCACAATAGTTCCCGATTTAGCGCAAAAAAAAGAGACAGAAAAGAGCGTTACCTTCGGAATCAATATGTCCGCTCCTGGGCTTTCCAATTTGTTTCAGGGTCCCGCTGGTTGCAATAGGAGCGCGTCAAACATCGCTCAGCCCTGCCTTGCCTCTGTTTTGCTGAGAGTCAGGGTGTGGGACGCATGGCACGTAAAGATGCACAAGCATTTATTAATATCAGCCAGAAATCATCCTATCCATGCCAATTTATGCAGAGATGCAACAAGAATACACACCCAAATGTGGATTATTTATTTATTTGTTTATTTATTTATTTACTTATTTGGATATTAGGATGAAGAAAAACGTGAAGATAATTTAAAGGAATCCAAATCCAGAGGGAAATAAACCAAAAGTGAAACAACAAATGAGGAAATTAATCTTATTCCGATCTTAAAACTTTTTGTTTTAAATAACTTGTAAATAAAATGTTGTTTTAAATAAAATATGATCAACGGAAGCAATCATAACGATGACCTTAAATAAAAAAATCTCCAAGGTAATTTATTAAATATGGAAAAATATTATGTATGCATCGCCTTGTTGTTAACTTTGTTAGAAACAAAACAATCTTCCTAATGCTTTCTCTGCTTAATACACACCCAAAGCACATATTTTTAAACTGTAATATTGAGCAATTTCGATACAATTTATTTATGTAAAGTTATATATTTTTGTCTTTCTTCGGAGACGTGAAGAAATCTACAGATCAATCCCTGCAGTTATTCCTCCCGCCAGCAGAGGGCAGCAGACGCTCTGAAGTGTCGATAAGCAGACTGCTGACTCACTCCGGGTCACACAAACCAGCAAATCCATCAATAACAACAACCTCTGATCTGAACATACAAATCAAACTCAGTTTGACAACTAAGACCATTAGTTGTCTTTAATGGGGTTTTTTGTTTGTTTTTTGTTTGTGTTTTTTTTTTTTTTTTTTTTTAAAAAAAAAACAAAAGAAAATTTTGGTTAAAGGCTAATTTTTTAATTTTTTTTTTT